TCTCTCTCTCTCTCTCTCTCTCTCTCTCTCTCTCTCCGTCTCTCCGGATCTTATCGAGTTAATGATACGCGTTCAGCGGCTTTCGTTTCTTTTCTTTTTTCGTCTCGCTTCTTTCTTGGGAGCTGCGCACAAAAACAATGGACAGCTCGCTCGCGTTGCGTCGGACACGATAGAAAGTGAAAAATCGAGCGTTTCGATATATATTGATCATCGACGGGACAACGTTGCAAAAGCATCATCCGCACTTGTCACTTTCCCTCGGCGATCGGAACGCTAAAAGAGAAAGAGACAGAGGGGGAGAGAGATTAGAGCGAGCAGTGAGTGAGCGGCCGCGGCCCAGTTAGCCGATAATTACCGAACGATCGTCGAAGATTGGGACAAAGCGGAGCGGAGCACTGGTTGTGCGGTGGGTGGTACTGCGAGTCATCGTTGCGACACACCGGCGTACCAGCGGCAGCAAGCAGCAACGGCAGCTCTTGCCTGCCCCCGGCGGCTCCGATATTAATCGCTACCGCGCACAATTGCGACGATCGTTAAAAAGCTCCGAGAGGCCTCTGTGTGTGTGTGTGTGTGTGTGTGTGTGTGTGTGTGTGTGTGTGTGTGTGGGGGTGTGCGTGTGTGTGTGTATGGACGCTCTATGCTGCAGCCACCGCCGTCAAAGGATCTCCTTTCGCTTTCGTTAAACCCATTGTGTTGCGCGCCTTTTTTTGCTCTTTTACGAGCCTTTCGACGCCCGAGCTCTTGATTTTTTTCGTTATCAACGTTTTTCGAAGTGGCGAGCGCCTACAAGTCCATTAGAGCAATTCTGTCTGCTAGAGCAATTTTCCCGCTCCATCGTCGAATCGAAAAATCCCGAAATAGAGACATTGAAGAATGGAGCAACGGAAGGAAAACTCGTTACGCGCACTCGAGACGATTGATGACAATGAGTCGCGGGTGCCAGCCAACCGACCTGGAATCCCTGGCGTGCGAGCATGGAATTCGAGCGATGGCAGCTCGTAAACCGTATTAGCATTCTCGCCTCTCTCGACGATGCGCACTGGTAATCACTCGTGTGAATGAGCTTTGCTTTTTTTTAACTTTCGATTATCGACGGGGCTGCTTTCTTCTTAGTCAACCGCTTTTTTTATCGGCTTTTTCGTGCTTCATTTTATAAGATGATTGAGAGGAGCACGGTTAATTTCTTGAGAAGATTTCACCGGTTCTCGCTCCGTTCGATTTCTAGGCTTTCATGGCGCGTACTCCCGTTTTTAGCATGTTGGTAATCGCTTGACAGTGGCATTTTCTGCAAAGTCCGAGGATGTCTGACCAAACTCACCTACTTCTACTGGCTTCGCTGCTGACAGCGCGCGAACAGAGTGAAGCCTTCAAGTGGAATACAAGCCGGATCAGATACGAAAATAGAATAATAGAATGCCAGGGAATACATTAAAGAAACAGCGAATCAAGCAAATAGTGACAGATGAACACGCGTTTGCTCGAGGCGCGACAATCATTTATTGCGCCGCCGCCGCCGCCGCCGTCAACATTCACCTCGGCGAGCAGCGGCAATAGCGATTCTCGCTGCGCAGCTTCGCCATGCAAAACACATACCAGCAAACGAGCATCATCGCGCACCGCGACGGCCTGGGATTATTCATCTTCGGAAAATCAGTGGCTCGCGTCTTCCTTGCACGGTAGCGCGCGGAGGCGCGCCGCAGACAATGCGTGCGCGCGTACGCGCACGCCAGTGCAGCCAAGCAGAGACGCAGGGAGAATAACGAGGAGCAGTAGCACTGCTCCTCCCACTGACCAATCGACGCCGACACGTGCGCGCGTACGTATGCGTGCTGTGCCCCCGGCGAGCTGCTCTTCTCTCTAGGATCGTCCGTTCCGTCTCGTTCCGTACGACGAGCCACGCGCGTGCCGATTATTCCCGGCGTAAAATGGCGTCCGGCGCATTTCTTTCCGCGCGACTTTCGGCCGCGCAGCAGAGCTTGCGCAAGCGTTTTCACCAGCCGCAGAGACGCAAAATCCGGCGCGGTCCCCGTTAAATTTGACGCTGATTTAAGAGCCGCGCGCGGCCGCGAGAAACACGAGGTTGGCCCACCGAGAGGTGAACGATCGTCGGTGCTTGAGAGAGAGAGAGAGAGAGAGAGAGAGAGAGAGAGAGAGAGAGAGAGAGCTTGTAGTGAAAGAATCGCTAAAGTTACGACTTGACGAAATCTCGAGCGAACCAAGGGGGATCCTATTGACACATCCTCCCAATCGTTGGTTAATCGCCCGCTTTCGAGCGATTTTACACAAGTCGAGCGTGCAAAAACTACCTATCCGCTGCCACAAAATTTTACGATCCAACAACAATCCTCCGAAATATAATCTGGCGCCAGGTGGAATAAAGTGTTTAGCAACGGCGCACGGAGCCAGTGCATTCCCGGGATTTTTTGAGGTAGACAATCGACGAGCGAAAACGCGATGAAATTATACGATGGGACACATTGCGCAAGCCAGACGACAACGACGACGACTACGACGAGAACGACGACGACGACGAAGACGACGACGACGACGACGGCAACGACGGCGACAAAGTGAAAGAGAATCCGACTGAGAATAGTGTCATAATGGGTGCTCAGGGTCGATACATTGTCAACCGCCTTTTGAATCAAAGGCGGGACCCGTGCGAGCGAGTCGCGGGCGCATTCTATTCTCTACGCTCGCCTCGCTCATCGTATCATTAGCTCGTCGCCTACGCGCGCGAATAATCGTCGCGGAGGATGCGATATATGTATGTGTCGCGCGTGTGTCAACAACTCGGCTAGCTGCGCACGCGTGACAAGGACCCGTCGCCAGTGAGCGTCACGCAGCTCTGCGAGCGTACGTCGGCGTTGATCGATCGACATCGAAACGTTCCAGGATCGCCCGAGCGCCGACTAACGAACGTCGGGCTATAACGCAGAGGCGCGCCGAACGAGCGGAGCGAGAAAGCAGTCGAAGAACGACGCGCCAGGGCGAGAGCGTACGGATGTCGAGCGAGCGCCTTCGCGCTAATTTCACGCCGGCAGAGCCCTCGGGATGCCCCGATAAAGCCTTGGCTCGAGCGATCGACGAGCGTGGCCCGACTGCAGCGCCAGCGCAACCGGCCGAGGAAGAAATCCTGCGCGCGGCTCGCGTTTCAGCCGGCGCACTGCAGCCACAGCCGCTTCAGAACGGCCCCGCCAAGCGCGCCGCCGTGGCGGCTGCTCGATTTACTCGACCGTCCGCTTTGTCTCGCTCGCCGATCGGATCCGCACGCCCGCCCGACGCTTCGTGTAAGTGTCTAGGCAGCGTCCGCGGTATCGCGATCGACGCTTCTTGGTCCTCCAGCTCCTGGAACACAACGAGGTTGCATAAAAAAAATCCTCGCGAGAACGAGCAGTCGAGGCTGATTTTATTCCTATTTTATTTTTGCTCCGACTTATCTTGTCGGAAATTAAATTTGAAAACGTGCATTGTGCTAGAAAACAATATAAGATGACTGAAAAAGGGAAGAGGTTTTTCACGATGCATTCAGATGTCGATAAACCACCTTATGTACCACGCGTCGTCATCAATTATATACACGAATGCGGAGTTCGTCGGAATAACATTTCCTAATTACAATATTTTATCTGTAAAATACTTAGTTCGATTCGAGGATGACGGAGCCAATCGAGTAAAAAACGAGATGAAAGCAACAGGTGTTTATCGCACAGCTCGTGGTGGCGCGGCCGCTTCTAGCGAACTCGAAAAAAAGCCGAAATCAAGCGAATCCGCCCGCTTGCCCATCCACTTTCCGCAGCAAAAAGGCAATCGGGGCGAGCGTCGGCAGGCGAAGATTTTGCGAAAATGGCCGGAAAGCGCCGAAAAGAAGCAGCGAGGCCCTCTAATTAGAGAGCGGAGCGACAGGAAGCGGCGGAGCGCGCGAGGGACGGGGGTCCGCGGGGCAGCGGTGATGAAAGGGAGCGCGCAGGGCGAAACCGTAATAGCGGGTCCGCGGCCGGTCGGCGCGCCGGGACAACGGTGAAGCCCGGCAGGCCGCGCATAGCGGTCCGAGGTGTCGAGCGCCGTCGGTAGGGCGTGGGGCGCGCTGGTGGGGGCCGCGCCGCTGTCGGTCGCGCTCCCGTGGACCGCGCTCGGCTGCGCCCGAGCGAGGTGGGAGTGGAGAGCGCGCGCGCGCACGCTCCACGTGACTCCCTGCCGCGCGCGGACGGCGCGGCTTCCTCGGCGCCGCTGCGGCGCTCCTCGAGGCACGCGAGCCGAGCGGCCGCGGAAGCTCGCAGCTTGCGACGCGGCCGAGGATCGCGGAGCGCCAGAAAGCGGCGGCGGCGGCGGCGGCGGCGGCGGGGGAGGGGCGCAGGGAGGCGGCGGAGGAGGCGGAGGAGGCGGAGGAGGCGGAGGAGGGCTCGAGCACGCGTGTGCAGCGGCGCTGGAGGCGAGAGCGCTCGGGAGAGCCGCCGAGCGCGAGCGGGGGGCGGCTGGTCGCGTGCCGGCGTGCAGCGAGCGCTCCGTGGCGATACAAAGCGAGCGAGCGAGCGCCGGCACACACGCGGACACGCGGCAGGGATCGCCGCCGAAGTCTCGTCGAGCGCTCCCCGCCCATCGCTCTGGCTCTTTCTCGCTCGTTGGCGGTACCCCTCCGTCGCGCGCGCGCGCGCCGCCGCCGCACCAGTCTACCACTACGCTGCTTCTCGAGGAGCGCGCTGCTCTCCGACTCCGCGGATACTCGCTCGCGCCGCTGATTGCTCACTCACTCTTACTCGGGCTCCGCGCCGGCACGTTGCTGCTGCCGACGCCGCTCAGCTGCGCCATCCGCCATGCCGCCTCCGTCAGCACCGCCGCGCGCTCGTTGTGTTCAGTGATCCTCGCCGTGGTCGTCGTCGCGGCCCCGCGCCCGTCCAGCCAGCGGTTGTGCTACTCTCCGTCTCCGGCTCAGTGCTCGCGACCTTAGAGACTGTTAAGGCTGTGACAGAAGAGGATAGCGACGAATAAAGTGTGTCTCGGCGAGCGGCCGAGGGCAGGCAGGCCAGCAGGGAGGAGCCGCCGAAGGCGCGACGCGCCAGCGCTCCTTCTCGGTGCAGCTGGGCGCCGGTTCCCACGAGCGATCTTCACCTTCGCTCCGCCAGCAGTCGTGGAATGACAGAGAAGGTAAATGCAGGCAACGATCCCGCGCGGTACTTTCCCCGCGAGCGTTCCCGCGCGCCTTCGCCGCCGATTTCGTTTCGTGCCTCGTAAACAGCGCTACTTTATTATGGGCTTTTACCTCGTGGCCCGATAACACATCGGCCCGTCTTATCTGCGCTCTCGCGGCTAAATCATTGGCACGCGCGCCCACGCGAGCTGCGCCACGTAGGAGTGCGCGAGCCCCTCGTCGGCGCGAGCAAAAGAGCGCGAAGCGTCGTTCGAAGGCAGAGCTGGATGCCGCGCGTCGCCACTGCGAGTGGAGCGCGTGCACGCGCGCACCCACGCTCCCCCGTCGAGGGATCGCCGCTGCTCGTTCGGGCCTCGTTTCCTCCTTCGTAAATTTCACTTGCCTCCCGCCGGAGCAGCAGCACGCGAGAGTCGCGAGCCGTCCGCGACGACACAGGATAGCGCCTGCCACCCACGCCTATTACGGGCTCCTCGTGTCTATACACCGCTGAATTACACCGCGTATCATTTCAACAGGCTATTTTCGCACCCCGAGCTATTTTCCGCTCCGGCGGTGCGATCTGAGCCTTGCGATTTGCTTATCAATCGCAAACAGCCGGAAAAGAGAGACCACTGAGAAATCGTTGGCCGAAAGCTCTGATGAAAGATCCACCGCGAGACGAGCTCGTTTACGCTTGGGACCAAGTGGCGCGTGAAAAGCGGCAACGACCACGGCGACGACAAAGGTGTTTCGCGCCAGAGAGAGCGTCGGCAATTCGCGCAATCGTCGCAGCCTCAAAACCTGATGAAGCCCGTGTGGCTTCTCTCTCTCTCCCTCCCTCTCTCTTTCGGTTGTTGTGTTCTTTTCCTTCCTTTCGTTTATGCGCGTGCGGTTGCCCAACGACTACTGCACACTCTTGGAGGTATATTTGAATACGGCCGGACAATCGTGAGAGACTCCCGCGCTCGCAACAATGTCGCGAACTCGGCGACCCTCTCGAAAAACGACGGTGGCTGTGTTGGCTGCTCGCCGCAAAACGGTAATGAAACGCGTGTAACACCGCGAAACCAACTTTCCGGAGATGATACGTCTATGCGCCGCGCGTTTCTCAACGGCGAAACGTCATTTTGTCGGCGCTTCTCATGTGGTCGGCTTTCATGCACCTTGCCGTGGTTAGCACTTGTCGTACTTGGAACTTCTGAACTTGGGCGCCTCGGCCCGATGCTTCGTTTGCTACTGTTACGCCGCAATCAAGTGATCGCTAGCGGGGTGGCCCAAAATACGATTATCAGATGAAAAGCACGTCAGTGGCGCTCGGCTGGCCACTTATCGCGAACGGCGCTCGGAGCGTACTACACGACGCACGCGAAATCGTTCACCTTGCATATTGACCAGGAGCGCTGATTTATCGCGGCTCTCGATCCAATTACCGGCTAAAGAGCACGATTCAGGCTCGCCTACGACCGCGCTCGGCCGCGGCAGCTGCGCCGCCGCGATCGCGCCGCCAGATAAGCCAGCGCCAACTGGAAAAAGCGAGCAACAAAAGCCGTGCGCGATTTACATGCGGGCGAAACAATCGCGGCGATAACGCGCAATAAAAATCGCGATCGACGGCTCGGCCGATCGATGTAGCGGCCGAAAGAAGATTTTTCAGGTCGTAGCCCACATTCGTGATGTAAGAATCGCCGATTGACCGGTCGTGCGCGCGCGCGCGCGCCTCCAGCTGCACCGCTGTTTTTCAGCGCGGCACTCTTGTTTTTCGCCTTGCCCGCTTTCTTTCGGCGCTGCATACGCCGCCTCGGGTAACGAGATCGGCCGGCTAATTAATTGATCAACAAACTATCACTTTCATCGGTAGTTTCACTACGTTCGATCGCCGACTAGTCCAGTTTCGCAAAGAGCGTCTAATTTCAATTGAGACATTTGGAAAAGCACGCGAGGCGACAGCAGAGTCACCGGGCGCTCGCTCGCCGACTCGCGATAAATTTCCACGGGCGAGAGAGTGGGCGCAGCTGCATCCGTGTGCGCTCGCTCGCACAGCCGCAATTGCGCTGATGATCGATCGGCTATAGCCCGAGAGAGAAAGTCTCGCGCGCGTGCGGACATTCGCACTGCTTCGGTTTTTTTATCCCTGCTCCCCCTCCCTCCCTCTCGCCCTCTCGTCCTCTCCCACCGCCGAATTCTCTCTTTCTCTCTCTCTCCCTGCGCTTTTATTTAATAAAGACATCGATCGACTTACTTATAACGCGTGTTTCGGCGCCTCCCAGCGGTAGAAAAAGGAGCTGACGTAACTGTTGCCCCGAACGAACCAACTGCAAGGAGATCGGTTCGTGCTAGCCTCTTTTTTCCTCAAATAAATTGCCTTTCTCGCGGCTCGACAGGAATGTAAATTGGAGGACGTGTCGTGTGAAGGCTCTTTCACCAATTACTCTCTGCTTTGCCCACTGCAGATGTGCATCAAGGCTATCTTCTCGCGACATTCAATATGATGCGCGAAGGGCACGCGGCGCTCGCATTGGGGTTACATATAATGCCAGAAGGACACGAGGTGCTGCGTGTGTTGCATCGGACGTGAATTAATGACGAGTGCCCCATCTCTGATATATAGCAACACGGCTCAGCTGCATTTCCATAAGTACATATTTTGGAGAGTTCCACTTAATGGATAATCAGGGGTATGCCGCCAGTCAATTGGCCACGTAGGATCGTTAATAAAAAGAAATCACCCGTAAATGTTTTGCCCGACACTCTTACGCTCAAATTGAAGTTGATTGATTTCATACGAAAGAACTGTTACTCGCGGAGAAGAAAAAAAGACAATGTGATTTTTGAGGCCAAACCAGAAGATTCGAAGAAAAAAAAGTCCGTCGTCGAGTGCGTGACGGCCACGCAGCTCCAAGTCCCCGATGACAACGAGAGAAGAAGCAAAAAAAAAAAACAAAACGTTTCGTTCCCTGTACGTTTCCTTGCGTTCTCGCACCAGTGATTTCGCTGGCCGAAATATCTGCCTCGCGTCTTACCGATCAACAACGAAGACGATCTCCGGGACGACCTTATACTTTCGTAATGACTCGACGATTTTTTGCCGCCCGCGCGTCGAGTTTAAAAAAATCAAGACAATCGTAGTTTTTGCCATCCTTTGAGTGCGTAATCTTGAAATGCTTTTTTCGACAAACCAAGGAAGAAAAGCCTCGACCAATCTCCCGAATGGATGTGTATGTGTGGAGCGTAAAGTTTTTACGCTGGTCGTTCTGGTTTATCGAAGCGCCGCGCGCGTCCTTCGAAATATTCAACTGGATCAGCGCGCGCGTTAACGTCGCCTTCGCTCGAATTATAAAATTTAAATGGGTCAGAGACGCATGCGCTCGCGAAGCAGCAGGCAGAGGTGGCTGTTATGGAATGGAAGAGAATTCTTTTATATTCGCTTTAAATAATGGATTTGTGCGGGACGTTTAAAAGCTCAATTCTGCGCAGCAGACCGAGCGAGCGATGGACAATCGGCCGATTTCACGAGACTCGACTCGAGCGACAGTCATTCTTCCCAGAAAAAAGAGAATTGATCGCGAGGCGTGTACTTTCGCGGAGTGGCGAGATGAAGAAAGATCGGCCGATTGCTTCTCTCTCTCTCTCTCTCTCTCTCTCTCGAAAATGAGCGACAGCGATCCCTCGCGGCTTAGTAGCGCGTGAATATTTCATGAGTTGGCGTTGTCGGGATTCTAGTCAAATCGGGGCGGATCCTTTGGCGGTGGACAGAGAATTTCTTGAAAATCGGTGGCGGTAATGCACACGCTCGGCCGACTGGCTCAAGCGTTCCGCCTCGTGGATCGCCACACATGCATAATGCCATCTCGCGCGGGCAGCTTCGATTTCACTTGCGCGCCGGACGGACCCCCACGCGACCGACAAGTTGACTCTCCTCTCGCGCCGCAGCTGCTGCGTTCCACGAGGACGAGGCTCGATTTCCGCTCTCCGTTATTATGCCGCCTGAAAATGGAGCTGTTTCCCGGCTTCCCCTCCGGTTGCGACGCACGCTTGCCGAGCCGATCTGCACCGGCAGAGCGATTGATATGTTTCGGTGTAGAAATAACGCGTTAAACTGTATTGCCTTGTTTAATGCGATGTGTCACATTTGTCAAAAATCCGATCTGATGCGCGACGGTGGAATCGATTCGTTTCCATCGGTATTCCGACCATTCCGATCATTCCCGTCGCGGCGAGAGCGCGCGCTTGTCACCTTTGTGATCTTCTCATAGCGACAGTTATAATCCCTTGAAAGACGCTTCAACGCAAAACTGGGTTAAATCAAGAGCTAACGCTTGGTTTGGGCTCGAGAGTCGAATACCGACCGGATAGGTGTGAGAGCATCAAAGCATTGCAGCTTCGTGGCGGTGTTTTACATAACAACTGTGCTACCTACCAAAATCTTTATTTCTATCAATCATTTTTCAAAGAACGATCGTTTGAATTTCAAATGATCCGCGCTGCAACCTTCGCTTCTGCGCTGGATTCGATTCGATAAATAAGTATTTTTACAATTGTACATCCTGTGACGATGAGCGCTTGCAAAACTAACAAGTCGAGGCACGCACGACACTCAGAAATGAGTTTTTCCGCGTTGAGTCTCCGTCTGCACGCGCGATGATAACGTTCTTAATATCGTCGCAGCAGCAGCTACTGCAGATTCACCTGCTGATGGCCACGACCGCAAAACAGAGAGCTGAAATACCGTGAGCGCTTAGGTGTAGATTCACTTGGCGACCCCGCGACGACGAGTCATTTGCAGCTGCACGAATGAAATCTCGTCGACGTTTATGTCTGTTTTTCTTTTCTTTCATCCAGAATCTCGCGAGTGGGAAGCCTTAGCGACGCGTCTTTTTCCGTGATTGAAAGAGCCAGCGTCTCGTTTCCAATCGCACTCTACAGACCACATTTGTTATTCCGATCGGCTCGTTTCTTCGTTGCGTCAATTTTTAAAAAGTCAAATTTGTTCGGCTTATAAACTGTATGACGAACTTCC